TGCTTTTCCTCACTCTGGCAGGTTACTCTTTTCTCCCTCATGGTAAAATGGAAAAAGCAGAAAGGATTTAAAAAACCCCCTCCAAAATAAACTTTTGTTTTGTTTTTAGATGTTAAAAATCCCAACTATTTCATATAAAACAAAGCACCACTAGAGAAAAACAGACAATTTATTATCAAGTGTCTCAACAACAATTGTTTGATGCAAACCATCCCTGGCTTTGGAAGAATTGGAGTGTTAACCCTGATATTCTGCCAGAGAGCAACTCAATTATGTCTGACTCCCTTAAATTCTCCCTGGAGTGCCAAATAAATCCTCTGCTTTCCTTTATTCCCTTTCCTCAGGTATTCCCAGAGCAGTGTTCTAATAAAGACTTGGAATTAAATCCACACTCCTCTAACAGCTTGAGTATCTCACACTGTTGATGTTTTGTTGCCTGCTCTTAGAATTAGAGATGAGTTATTATCAATTCCATGAAGCTGGAGTCCTTTTTAAAAGCTAAATACACCATCAAGTTCCCTGCATTCCTTCAGGAACCAGTGACAAAGGGGAGGTGAAACCAAGACACAAAAGTCACCCACAAAATTGTTTTTCCCAGCTGCAGGTTGGTTTTTTTACACCACTCCTGAGCCAACGTTTGTGCTAAATATTATTAAAAAAATGAGGCAAAGCCCTTGTATCACCAACCTTCAACACCATGGAACAGTCAAAGGCAAGAGAAGGAGCCAAAGAAAACTGGAAAATAGCAAATATATGATATATTTTAGTTACCACTGAGAAATTCTGGAAATATCCAGAAAATCAGCATGAATAGAGGTCCATAACCTTTGTTTTAAGCTGAAAACAATCTCCTTTGATTTCTACTATTTCTGGGAAATCAGCAGGAATAAAGGTCTATGAGCTCTGTTTTAAGCAACTTAAAAACTGTCTCCTTTAGTTTTTAGTCATGGAAAATCAGCAGGAATTAAGGTTCACAAACTTTGTTCTAAGGAACCTAAAATCTGTCTCCTTTGGTTTCTGAGAAATAAAGGTCCACAAGGTTTTTTTTAAGGGACCTGAAAACTTCTCCATTGGTTTCTGGGAAATAAAGATCCACAAACTTTGTTTTAAAGAACCTGAAATCTGCCCCTTTTGGTTTCCTCTACTCCCAGCAGCATCTCACTAAATCCACAATTCCCATCGTGCTCACTGAGAGCGGGGGCACCTCTTTAAAAATCAGATATTCCAGTGGGTTCTGCTTTGCTGTGGCACAGGACAGAAGGGTTTGGGGAGCAGGATGCCTCTAAGAGTTTGACAGAGATTTTTAATTGGATTTTAAAATGCTGTTGATTGCATAGATGAGGTTATAGTTGTTGAGGGTGAGCCCAGAGCTGCTGGCTCTAGGCAAGCTCTGTGTGTTCTGAAGTTCATTTAGTTCTGGTTATAATGCATTATATACTTTTTATTACAGAGCATTTTAATACATGACTACTAATTAACATCATTTATAATACTTATTACATTTATATATAACTTATCTAAACTGCTAAAATTACTGTATTATGTTAGTGACTAGCTAATAATGTGATAAGCTAATATTATTATTGCTATATTAGTGATTAGTTAATTATCAGAGTTAGTAGTCACATGTTAAACTTTGGGTCTTGTTCTGCAGTGGAAATTTTTGAGATTTTTTTTTTTTACTTGTAATACTGGCTTTCTTGTTTGCCTGTGAAAATCTTTTTGTTTGGTAAAAACATTTTTTGTTTGGGGTGGATTTATCCTTTGCTCTAAGCCATAAAAACCTTTTCCAACTCACTTGCTCTTTACCTTCTCGTTACCCAGTCAGACTGGCTCAGCAATTCTTTTCTCCTATATCAAAACCTGCTCTCATTCCTATAGAACCTTCTGTACACCTGCAGAACCCCTCTGTTGAATTCCTGTCCTTCCCAAGAGATGCTGAGCACGGGGCACCCCACAGGTTTGCTGTGCTCTCAGGCTTTTCCAGCCCCAGCTCCAGCTCCAGCATCATCTGGGATTTCCCAGCTACCAGCCCGTGGATACCTGGGCAAACGCTGCTGTCAGAGGCAATTCCTCAGTGCAGCAGCCCTGCAAGGAGCTGCTCCAGAGCTCTGTGGTGTGCAGTGAGACAGGAGGAGCTGAGTGCTCAGCACAGAGCCCTGGGACAGCTCTGGCACAGGCTCCTGCAGCCCTGAGCTCACAGGGCAAAGCTCAGCTGCTCAAAGAGGGGGTTTTTGTTCTCAGCACCAGCCCAGATTGACAGCCAGATCTCACAGAGCGTTTCCTGGGCAGTAATCACTGCTAAGGTGATTTTACTGCGCTGTGGTGGGTGATCCCTGTCACTGTTGAAAGGGTCACTGCCCACAGCAGGGCTCGGGGGGGGATTGGGGTCGGCACATCCCCTGCTCTGATCCCCAAACCCAGCAGTTCCTGCAGGGCACTGCACTCACACCAGCCAACAACTGAGGGACAAGCACATGAAACCAGTGACAGAGCCAGGCATGCAAATAATCACCCCTGTGAACTGTTCTGATCACAGAAATCAGCTTTTTCCTTGAATGAAAGGGTCATTAAAAACATTCATGATTGACTCAGAGTAGGGGAAAGGCAAAGGAGATTTCCCACCCCATAAAATTTAAACTAATTCAGGAACACACTTGAATGAAAGCATTGACTCCTCCTTTATTGGGTGAAAAATGCAACATTCTATTATGAACTTTTTCCACTCTGAATTGAAGAACCACTTCAAAATTCTGCTTTTCAAGGGTGCAGTGTGTTACCAAGGGAGTTTGTGACACCTGATTCTCACTCCTCAGCTGGTCACAATCATGTCACACCTACACGGGCCACCTTCCCCCCCTCAGCCTCCCCTGGCCAAGTGAGCCTGGCCATGCTCTTGTCCACACTCAGCAGAGCCTTTCATCTTGTCTTGTTTTAATAAAGTCTCCTTCAAACAGCTTGGCCCCTGTTTCCTGTCTCCTCACACAGCTGCTCGTGTGCCCCAGAGAGGTAAACAGTGGAAAAGACAAGAATTGTGTATATTAGTCACGTTATTAGGATGTTTAATGATGAAAACCCAAACCTTCCTCTCAAGACTTCTCCTAAACCTTTTTTCCACATTAGTCTTCACTTTGTCATTAAAAAAAAAAAAAAAAAGCAAGACATCACTGGCAGTTCTGTAGATTTTTACTGCACCAAATCCAGGCTTTAGCCAGCAAATCAATCCCCAGCCTCCTTGTGTTCAGGAGGATCTAGGAACAGGGAACCACAACATTTCCTTACTTTTCCCTGGACTTGATTCTAATATTGGTGAATGAAGCTGGACAAGGAGGAGAAAGACCAAGTCCTGTGCTGGCAAGGCAGGTAAAGCTCAGGGGGCAGCTCAGTGACCACTGTAGGACCAGGAAGAAAAAAAAAACATTCCAGGTTTTGCTCTGAGTTTTGAAGACAATTCTCCCCTCACCATTGCTTGGAGAGGCTGAGAAACCTGACTGCAGGTGAGGGCAAAGTGTCTTTTGTTGGGCATTGCTGTGTTCCTGTCAGAGTGGAGATGCTGAGGATACACTGATAAAGCCCCTTGTGTTCTATAGAGAAAAGCAGCAAAGGAAAGTTGTTGTTATATTACAGACAAACCCACTTTTTGTGTGGCAACACTTTGTTCCTTCTGCTCCAAACCTTCAACATATTGGAATATTCAGCAGCTGAATAGGATCAAAGACTGCAATTCCCATTGTCTCCATCAGCAAGGTGAGCGACCAACCCTTCTGTGTCCCCAATTTCCACAGAACCACTTCCTGAAGGGCTGAGCTGTTCCTGACCCTGCTCTCTCACCTGCTGGAGTCCTCTTCAAACTCTCCCCAGCACAGAGAGGCACAAATGGCACAAAGAGCTGCCTGCACTGCTGGGAGCCTCCAGCACCTCCACACCCCATCCCTCCCTGCAGACAAAACCTTTGCCAACAGCAATGCCCTGAGCACTTCTCCATTCCTCAGCAGATACACAGATGTTGTGTTTGATCACCACACCTCCCTCTCCAGCCCACATCCCACACCTGGGAGCCTTAAACTGGGGTTTTCCCTGCCACAACCCTTTCGAGCTGTTCAAAAACCCTGTTGTGCCTGTCCAGCATGGCTGGCACTCAGCTCCTGCCAGGGCAGCAGTGCCCAGCAGTGCCCAGCAGTGCCCAGCCCCCTTTCTCACACCTGTGCCCAGGTTCCAGCACATTTCCAGGTTCCAGGAGCCCTGGAAGTGTCGGGCTTTGCCCAGCCAGGGCAGGGGAGGGAGGCACAGCTCACTCCTCCCCTCCAGGAGCTCCCTCAGACACCTCAGGGCTGCCAGCTCATTTCCCCACAGCCCTCCAGCTTCCCTTCACTCTCCTTTCCTTCCTCTTTTTCCATTCTCTGCTCCTCTCCTCCTCAGCAAATCAGCCTCTCTCTTTTCTTTCCCTCCTTTCAGCCCTTTCTTGCCTTTCCCCCTTCTCGCATCCTTTTCTCCCCCAACTCCTCCCTCCTGCACTCCGACACATCTGTTTCTAATCTTAGCCATCCATTGGAAACAATAACCCCTTTTTTATTTCCAAGGTCTGAACACCCGAGTGCCCAACAATTCAGCACAGTTACACTAATTTGACACTCTGCCTGAAACAAAGACATTTTATTCACCTTGGTTTGCCCAAGAGGTCCAAGCCCCTCTCTCGTTTATCCCTGAAAAGAGCTGCCCTCTTTAAACAAGAACCACACATTCCCAAACGAGTCTGTTTGACCACCAGTTTTTAAAATTAATCTGGATAATCGGGGATCTCTGGCTGTCAACCTGCTCATAAAGCGACCAGAAAAGGATCAGAACTCAAACACTGCTGAAATTACAGTTTTCCATAAAAGTTTCCTCCTTACAAACCCTTTTTCTCCAACTCACCAGGAACGAATTTCAGGCACACGGAGCAGCTTCGTGGAAGTTGGATTAAAAACAAAAAAACGAGCAACACCAAAAAGCCAACGTACCTAAGAAGAGGACTGGAAATGCAGACATTCCGTCTCCCAGCGAGAGGGACTTTTCCTCCCTTTTTCTTCCTCGCTCCCAAGGACGGCAGGCAGACCTGCACAGGATTCAAAGGAACGCCTCTGGAATGCACTGAGTGTAATTGCATCCATGTGCCACGAAAATAACCAACTTCACTCTTTCTTCCCTCCTGCTATTCATCCCCTGGTCCATCTTCCATCCAGAGCCAGCTGAGCTTTTTTTTTTTTTTTTTTATTTTGGTGGGGGGATCTCCGAGGCTGCAAATTCAGGGCCCGGGGAGTTTCTGGGGGAGAAAAGGCAGAGGCAGCACGGAGAGGACTTCACATCACGGCAGCACTGAACAATTTTGCCTGTCTGGAGAGGAGAGAAGCAGGGGGGAAAACACTGAGCTCAATGTTCACCACATGGCTGCCTCCCACTAGAGCCCCTCCCTGCCATCAGCTGGGATTAATAGTGAAGACCAGTCATGTGGGTGAGGTAGAGCTGATTTCCAGCAAGAATACAGATATTTAAAAGAGAAAGAAAAGGATTTCTCCAGTGGCAAAACAGTTAAGTTTGGAGGCAGCAAAAAAAAAAAAAAAAATCCAGCATGGAGAAAAAAAAAAAAATCAGATTCGTCAGTCAGGGATTGGAGGGACACTCTTGGAAAAAGCTCCTCAGGAGGACAAACACACTCCCCTGCATGCATTAGCTTTGGGCTCTTTTCTGCACTGGAGATTTGAGATTTCAGCCTCGCTGGAACACTTGTTCTGCCTCCTGCGTGGTTTCCTTTTTGCGTTTTTAGGAGAGAAAGAAATCCCCTAAAAATGGATTTAATTTAATTTCACGTCGTAGCTGTTCTTCACCGATGAGGGCAAAGCCCAGCCAAGCAGAAATTGGTGGCTATGGGGTGCAGGTTTTAACTCCCCCCAAAGGGACACAGAGAGACCCTTACAGCCCATCCTCAGCTTCTCCCTCACGCAGGGGAGCAAGTTTTTAAAATTACCTCAGGTACCCCATAAAGAAATACCCAGCACACACAGCAGAAAGGAAATAAAGCAGATTTACCCACCTCAGTGCCTTGGAATACAGAGCAAAAATTCTTCCCTTTAGAACAGTTATGAAAGTGTTTGTGAAGCCTGGAGGAGAGCAGCAAACCGTGGGCAAGGCTGCCAGCCTGTGGTTTGGGACATCACACTCCAGTTCTCCAAGCTTTCTTTCCTTTCCCCGTGTAACTCCACCCCCACACGCAATTTCTCTATGCACTCCCCCCAAAAATCAGGGATAAAATGCTGCTCTGCCCCTCCAGGGATGAAAACAAGCCCTGTACAGAGCCAGGAGCTGGACTTGCTGATTCTTTTGGTCACCTTCAGCTCAGGATAGTCTATTTTTTATGAAATAGAGAAATATTTATGAGCAACTCCTGGAAGCTCTGAAGGAATTTGGTACCTTTGGTGCTCATGACAGGGCTCTGTAGGTATTTATGGGAAGACAACAAAGAGTGCTGTCAAAATCAAACCCTAGATTTGGATAGATCCAGAGAGAATAAAAGGGATAAAAATCATCCTTCTGCACCCAGTTTCATCCAAGTTTTATTTGCCTCTGCCAGCTCAGATGGAGACAAGAGCAGCATTTGGCTCCTCCTCTCCAGAACTGATTTTCCCTCTCTATCACAATGTTTTAATCGGCATTATTATCTAATACAGACTGATTATCCAAATGTAACCTGGATTAGATGAATATCACAGCTCCCACAGGGCAGCTCTGCCCATCCCACAAAACCAAATCCCAAGATTCCTCCAGAACTTTTCCCCCCACACTTGACCAAACCTGCTGCTGTTTTCCCTGATGAATGGACCCTGATTTTCAGAGCAGGACATGAATCAATGGAGAAAAATTCATTTAATGCCTCCCCTGCACTGCAGGCCAGGCAGCACCGAGCTTGTCCCTGTGCATTACAAGTGTGACAGAAGATGTGAATTCCCAGCATCCTGATGGATTTAATGGGATCAATTCCTCCCCAGGGAGAGGGAGAGGAGTGCTGAACACCCTGCACTGCCTGCCCAGCCTCCCCCAAATCAAACTTGATTTTAAAATAAGGTTTAACCTTTTAAAATTTTATTTCAAATAAAGTTTTATTTGCCCCATGGGGCCGGGGTGTGCAGGGGGAGGAAGGTGGAGGGTGGAAGGGAGGCTGTGCATGCAAATCTCCTCTTCCTCATCCCATTCCTCATCCCATTCCCCATCACCTCCTCCTTTGGGGATTGCCCCTCTGGTTTTTGGTTCCTGCAGCAGTTGCAGTGAGGACAAAACCAGGACAGAGCTTTTGCCCTCAGGACAGGATTTGTCAGGACAGACACATCCTCGGTTTGCTGGTTCTGTTCTGGGGGAAAAGCTCCCCTCGGCAGCACCGTGTTTTTCCAGGAGGGGAAATTCCTCCCAGGAGGTTTGTGACAGCTCCCACCTGCTGGGAGATGGGTCAGGAATTCACCCCGGGGAGAGCAGGGGAAGAGAAGCTGATGTTGGAGATAAGCATTAAAGCAAAAAGGTTTGTAAAAAACTGTGATAAACCACATTAGTTTTTCAGTATTTCAAAGTTCCTGTACTGCTGTTGACAGATCCCAGCTTTTAAGCTCAGATTAAAACACCTGGCTACAAAAATCTGCAGAAATCCTCTTGGGCCACAGAGCAGTGGCTGAATTTCAGCCCCTTGTCATTTGTATGATCAAACCTTGCAGAAAACACACTCCTTAAATCTTAAATCTTAAAAAGTCTCACTCCAACTAACAAGTGTGGGGTCTCTTTCTCTAATCCCAACTGATTTTTTTTGTTGATCAATTTATTCCTTTCACTTTGTTCTTCCTCCTCCAAGGAAACACCTCCCTGAGCCTGAGTTGTCCCCCAGTGCTGCAGAGCTGCTCATTCTCTTCTTTGTGGTGTTTTAAAAATCTCATCACCCAAAATATATCCAAAAGCTGCATTTTCCCCCAAAATCTCCCACTATTTCTCCCTCCTGGTGCTAATTCATTATTGTCTCTTCTCCAGTATTCCCTTTATCAACTTACCTCACTCAGTTCAAATGATCTGAGCAGCTTCCTGATAAAGTCACTAAAAGAACAAAATTCATTCATCACTTTGTACCTCGTGAGCAAAAAAACCCTTTCTGTTCTGTTTTTGGGGTTGCACCTTAAAAAAAAAACCACCAAGAACACAAAGAAAAGAAAAACAACCAAATGACACAAACAAACCTCAAAACAGACAACAAAAAAAACGTTAGGGGAGAAATAAAACCTTTCACACAGATTTCTTTTCACAAGCAGGCACTGGAGGAAAGGCTGGTTTATGTTTTGTGGGAGGCACACACTGCTTGAAGGAGCTCTCCTCTCTCAGCCAGGCTTCAATAATTGATTAGAAAAACACAATTAGTCATTTAGTATCAGTAGGAAAATATCCCTTCAATGAGGCTCAGCACTCATAGTGTCAGTAAATGGATTTGAGGGGAAAAAAAACAAATCTCCAGCTCAGAGCCCTAAGGTTTATTTTTGTTTGTTTGAGGGGAAAACACCCTGATTATTTATTTATTATTTATTATTATTATTATTTATTATTATTATTTATTTATTTATTATTATTTATTATTATTATTTATTTATTTATTATTATCTTATTTTCCTCTGTGAGGCTGTAACTCAGTAGAGTCAAAGTAAATTGTTGCTCGCACAAAGAAAGAATATTTTTAATCTTCTAACTTTTAATCTTCTAACTTTTGAAGCTGATGCTTCAAAACCAAAGAACTGAGCACAAGCTACTTACACTTAATAGAAAGCAAAGCAGGTCAAACCCTACAAGGTTTAATGTTTATCACCATAAAATCTTTAAATATTTTTACAATACAAGATCTTTTGTTTACAAGCCAAGCTCTAAGAAAACTCCTGAGAAAACATGACCCACTGGTCTAAAAAAATGCACCAAGGCATCATGAGCAAAAAATAAATTCGTTTTTCCTTCAAGTTTCTCTCTCCAGCTACAAGGAAAAAATGTGAGGGTACAGAGGAATGCAGGTGTGGGGTTCAGGGGATTGAACAGGGAAGGTCAGGGGACAAGTGGCAAAAAAAAAATTAATGGCTTGTAAGCTTGAAGGTCTTAATTTTTTATTAATTTATTCATGATTTTTTATGTAATAAAAAGAAAAAGTATTGGAGAAAAAGCTGAATGAACTGGCCAGGAAGAGGAATTTATGTGGAAGCAATGGCTTTGAAAAAGACAAATATTTTGTTTCTTTTAGTGCAAGATAAAATCTTGGATTTTTTAACACTCTGGAATTACTTTTTTCCAAGTGTGGTTTTTGTGTGCTGGGGAGGGATTTGAGTGCATAAACTGAATTTTACTGAGAGTAAAATACAATAAAACAGAAAGAAAGGTGCTGAAGAAGCATTGAAGAAATTATCCCTGAGCCTAAACCTCAGCTCAAGGAGGTTCAGGTGGCTGAGGAATTTTTCTTGTGACTTCTGAGTACCAACAGTTTAATTCAGATGGCGAATTAAATTAATAATGAAATAATTAAAGCTGATCCTCCTCGGGTTGGTGCAGCTTTCTGCCCGAGAAATGAGGGCAGACAGAGCTGCTGCTCTTAGACTGAGCTGCTGAAATCCCATTTTTTTGCCAGCGTTTGGTTCTTTCCCTGAGCTGGGAGTGGCTGGAACTCAGCACTTGGGGCTGGGAGATGTCCCCAAGCCATCCTGCAGGTCCTGCTCTGTGACACTCAGCTTCTCTTCCCCTTTTTTTCTTCTCTATTCCTTTCCCACTGTGGCAGCAATCAATGTGGAACCTCCTTCCAAACTCCTCAGGGCCGAATTTATATTGGAATATTTCCCTGCCTGCAAGTACAGAACACTTAAGAAGGCTCATCCTGAGAATTTTCACTCCATAGAAATTTATTTCTTAAAATGCCTCACTAAAAGTTAATAAAATCCTATCTACAAAAAAACCCAAGGAGATTTTTTTTTTTTACCCTAACAACAAATATTTAAACTTTTTCAAATGAAGCCATTGCAGGTACGAGGTGAACTCTGAGTTTTCTATTCAAGATGAAACAAATATTTTGATACTTAAAAATGTAAATTTAAAACTTCTCATATAATTCTCTAAAATTGCAAGCCTCAATGTGACTTCTGAGTTGCTCTCAGGTAATTTTTGTCCAACTTCTCCCTTCTAAACTCTGCTCTGGTAAACACCAGACTGAAGTTTACATTCCTGACCACTTCCATCACAGGATGCTCTTTGTGGGACACATTTTTGCCAGCTGCCAATGCAAAAGTAAATCCTTTGCTTTGCTGAACAGAATGTGAAATGTTTTGGCTGGAAAATTATTTTACTCTTAATATTAGAACATATTCTTTATGACCTTGAAAAGAAATATCTTTAAAGAAAGAGAAATGAAAGGGAGAGCTTTATGAATTTTCCTCTCAGTGTCCTGAGCCTCACTCTGATTCTCTTTTATTTCTCATTTATTCAATTGCTTGTCTTGAAATTCTCATTTATTCAATGGTTTCTCTTCTATTTGTCATTTATTGAGTTGTTTCTCTTGAATTTCTCATTTATTCAGCCTTAGGGAAGGAGAGGGGAGGATCCAGCAGGTCATTTCACCACGGGGATGGTCTCTGTGATTTCCCACACCTCTGCTCTCTCCACTTCTGCTCTCTGTGTTTAATTAAAACCAATTAACACCAAAGTAACTGCTCCATTTAATTACTGCAAACCATGCTTTGGAGTCCTGTTGCACTGATAAATAAAGGACACCTCAGTGCGGGTAACCTGAGATATTTCTTTTAAGATTTCCTGAAATCCTTGAGAATTTTGGGTGCCTGATGAGGCCAAACTCAGATTTTCTTTATTTAAAGAAGGTAGCTACAAATGAGAAGCCTCCAGGCTGTTACAGAAATTGCTGTATCCATTATAAAATCCTGATTTTTAATGGCTTTGAGTGTCCAGATGCTTCAGGAGCTCCTGGACACAGCTCCACGTGCAGAGCTCTGTACACTCATGCATAGCTGAGCTGCAGCATCCCTGAGCTTCTGTGCTGCAGCTCGCTCCAGGCAAATGTCCTGCGAGGTTATGTTTAAATAATGCC